CTGATCTCCAAATATTTTTTTTTAAATTTGTATATATTCAGGTTCATTCTGTGCCATAAAGTTTTAAGGGTTTCAAAAAATGTGCACTATCAGGTAGCCACCAATACAGTATCAAGGACTACTTTTATTAACCAGAAAATTTCCTTGTGCTTCACATATTCAACCTATCCTACCTTGAATGTTTTATCGCAACCACTGACCTATTTATTATCCCTAAACTTTGCCTTTTCCCTGCCACAAAAATAGAATCATAAAGTACATATTATTTTGGACTGGTCTTTGCATGACTTGATAGCTCATTCTTTTTATCACTGAGTAGTATTCCATTGTGTGACTATATCATATATCTATTCAACTACCTAAGAACATCTTGGTCCTTTCCAGTATTTCCTGTTTATGAATAAACATGCTATAAATATTCATGTACAAGTTTTATATTACCCTAAGTTTTCAAATTGTTTGGGTAAATACCTAGGAATGTGATTGATAGATCATATAGTCTCACTTGGTTTAGCTTTGTAGGAAACTTCCAAATTATTTTTAAAGTCTGTGTACATATTTTGCATTCTGACCAGCTATAAGAGTTCCTGTTGCTTCGTATCCAAACATATTACATTTAGTTTTTAAGATTTTAATTATCTTAATAGGCATGTAGTTTCATGGCACTGTTTTTATAATTTATATTTTCCTAATGAAATATAGGTTGAAAATCATCTCATATGCTCACTTGCCATCCATGTAGTTATTTAATAAAATGTATGTTTGTCTATTTTTTAATTTGGGTTAATTTTTCTTATTTTTGAGCTTCAATAATGATTTATATATTTGGGCATAAGTTCTTTATTAGTTATGGGCTGTACATATATTTTCTCCTCGTTTGTTTGGTCTTTTCATTTTTTCAACAGTGTCTTTTTCAGACCAGAAGTTTTTAATTTTAGTGTGGTTCAACCAAAACACATTCTTTCATTGATGATGAATTTTGTATTTTATTAAAATCTTGCCATCAAACTAAAGGTCACATAAGTTTTAACCTACCATCTAGAAGTTTTACAGTTTTAGATTTTACATTTATGTCTATAATCCTTTTTAAATTAATTTTTTGAAAAATGATAAGTTGAGTGTTTCATTTTTATATATATTGATATACAATTTTTCCACCAACATTTATTGAAAAGTCTACTCTTTCTCCATTGACTTAAACTTTGTGGCTAGAAATGGAACTGACATATGACCTAACTATACCATTCCTTGGTATTTATTCTTAAAAATTAAAGTCATCATAATATAGCAATACAAGCATACCCATGTTTACAGCAGAACAAGTCACAGTAGCCAAACTATGGAAACAGCCTTGGTGTTCATCAACAGATGAGTGGATAAATAAAATGTGGGATATATGCATGATGGAATTTATTCAGCCACGATGAAAAAAACACATTATATCATTTTCAGGAAATGGATAGAACTAGAGATCATCTTTTTCAGTGAAATAAGCCAAACTCAGAAGGTCAAGAGTCACAGTTTCTCACTTATGCAAAAACTTCAAAAAGAAACTGAAGTGTTGGAGGGGGTCTCATGAAAATATAAGGGAGATCAGTAGAGTACAGGAAAGAGACTAGGGGGAGGGAGAAGGAGAGGGAAAGGGGAAATACTGAGGAATGACATTGGCCATGTTATATTGTAATATCATGCACATGCATATCTATGCAAAAACAAATCCCACCATTATGTACAACTATAAATGTAACAATAAAGTGTCTTAAAAATAGATTGTAATTTTGGTAAACATCATTTACTATATTTCTTTGTCTATTTCTGTGCTCTCTATTCTGACCCATTGATATGTGTATATTCTTTCATGAATACCACACTGTCTTGGTTACTTGAATTTTATTTAAATAATATTAAAATCCTAGAGTGTTATTCTTTCAACTTTGATCCTCATTATGTTGTTAGTGGTTCAAGTCATCTACCTTTCTACATAAATTCTAGTAGCAGTTTTTCAATATCTATAAAATATCTTGGAGGGATTTTATTTGGAATTGCATTTAATCTGCAGATCAATGTCTAGAAGAACTGACATAATAGTAATAATGAGTTGTTGTGAACATGGAATAAAAACATTATTTTGATTCCTTTCATCATATTTTAGATTCATATCCAAGAGTTTATTTTTGTGCCATTGTGAATGTTATAGTTTTTAAAAATTCTAATGCCACTTGTTCATTATTCATGTATGATAAAGAACATGGCTTTTCTATATTAGTGTCCTGAAAAATTGAACACTTCCTTATTGCTTCTAATAGTGCTTTCTCCTTCTCAATTTCTCAACTTTTTGGAGTGCAGGTTCTATTTAGACAATAATGTCATATATAAGTAAAGTTTATTTTTTTCATTACAGTCTATATACCTTTTAAAGTTTATTTTATCTAGGATTTCCACTATATCAATTAAATGTGGCATAGGAGGAAATCTTTGCCTTTTTTCAAATCTTAAAAATGACAGAGATCTCAATCTCCCATTGAGTATAATGCTAACTGAAGGCTCTTTAAATGTTGTCACAAAGAGAATGTTTCTTCATGTCTATTTTGTTGAGAATTTTATCATGAATGGATATTACTTTGTGTGAATGACTTTTCTATATCAATTGATATGCTTTTTTTAACCAGTTGATGGGGTAGATAACATTGATGTTGTCTGTTGAATAAGTCTTACATTCTTTGAATAAATCTCAATTATTGGATAAATATATTTGGAAATCTTTTTAGAAAAATTTTTTGAATCAATGTGCTGATATTCTGTTAGGATTTTTGGAGCCATATTCAAAAAAAACCTTGTCTATGATTTTGCTTACCTTAAAATATTTTACTTGGTTTAATCATTATGTAACCTGGCTTCATGAATGAGTTAGGAAGTGTTCTGTCTGCTTCCATTCCCAGAGTACGTTGTGAAAAATTTCTTGAAATGTTTGATATGATTAATCAGTGAAATCATATGATTTTGGTCCTTTCTTTAAGTTCATAACTATTAAGTCAACTTCTTTTATTGATGTAGAGCTATTTGAGTTACATATTTCAACTCATATGAATTATGATACATTATCTTTCAAGGAAATGGCCCAATTCAACCAAGTCATCAAATTTGTAATCTAGAGCCAGGCATGATGGTGCAAGCCTGTAATACCAGTTGCTCAAGAGGCTGAGGCAGGAAGATCAAGAGTTCAAAGCCAGCCTCAGCAACAGCGAGGCACTAAGCAACTCAGAGAGGTTCATTCACTGTGGTCCTCACTTGGGTATATAACCTTTAGGCCAACCAGGTCATTCCTAGATCTCCTAAGGAGTACCCCTTCCTGGAGATCTCTGGTTGCTTATTCACCTAGCATGCACATTAACAATGAGTAATTATTCCGGATGATTCTCAGTTGTCAAAGTAGGTGCTTATTTATGTGGTATAGAGACTAGTTCTCAAAAATGTTCATGTCCTAACCCCCAGAACCAGTGAATATGTAACATTGCATGGCAATGGGAAATTATTAATTCAGATGAAATTATTGTTGATAATCAGATAACATTAAGATAGGGAGATCTTACTAAATTATTCCAATGAGTCTTTAAAGGTAGAAGAGAGAAGTAGAATAAAGAGATCAGAGCAAGATATGACAATGAAAGTAATCTAGTACAAGATTAAACTCACCTTGCTAGCTTTTAATATGTAGGAAGGAGGATACAAGCAATGTGTTCTCTATAAGGTAGAAAGTTCAGAAAAGCAGATTATCCCCTAGAGCCTTCAGAAAAAATAAAGACCTTGCTCCTATAGCAATGAAACTCATATAAGACTTGCATTACAAAAATTATTCAGATAATAATTAATTTTTAAGCTGCTAAGTATTTGATAACTTGTTAAAGTAGCAATAGGAAACTAATAAAATTCATAAAGTATATTAATTCATATACAATGTATGAAGTGCCTCCTTTGAGTAAAGTGCTGTGATACAGATACGGAATGACACCTAGTAGAAAAAGACATGGTACCTGACTCCAAAGAAGTTGCAATCCAAGGGAGGAGAGAAGTGTTAAAGGGCCATTCCAGACTATCAGGATCATAAGTGAGTTGCTTTGGATCTTATCATCAAGACTTCAGTTCCTATCTTATTGTTTACTGGGTGGTTTTCAAGCCCTCTTCCTTCTTAACCCTCAGAATTCTGTAGAGTACCATCACCTCACTAAGGGTAAATGTTCTCTCTGTTAAAGCTCTCTTGCAAGTTCATTTAGACCTTCATTAAAACAAACCTCTAATGACCTTTCTTCTTTGCCAAACTTCCTCCAAGTCAGTGATTTATTTATTGATGAGATCTTTTCTGCATTATCCAGAAAGAATACTACCTCAGAGTAAGTATTTACAACATCTTCATTCAATTATCAAAGGCCACCAGTATTAATAGTATAGTACAATGTAACAATATTGACACTGGCTTTGGGATCAGAGAAGCTTGGGCAGAAGAGAAGAGATATAAAACAAAGCCTAATTATTGGAAACATTCTAGACTTTGAGACATAGTATTGCTCATGATAAAGTAAGACAACTAGACAGGCCTTACAGCTTATATAGAAGAACAGTGGTAGGATTCAGAAGTAAACAAATTTAGCTATAGGTGTGGATTTTAAACCAGTTTTGTGAAGCTAGGTCATAGCATAATGATATTTATGTTTAAATGTATCAAACACTTGTGTAAATTCCCTGTAATCTGGTGAATCATTACAAATCCCCACCCTTGGTAAAAGGTTAGGGATTAAGATATATGTCCAAACAAGTATGTCGATTAACATAGATCACAAAATAAAAATAAAACAGAAGCCTGTGGAGTAAACTCTTGAGGAAATTTCTACATTAAATCTTGTGGTACTTAACACCACTCACTGGGTAGACAGCAGTTTTACAAAAACAAATTTTATAAAGAATAAACTATATTATCTACCCTATAATTAAATTTATATACTCACTTGTGGGTATTGAATCCTGGAGAAATCCTCATGTTGGATCCCATTACAAATGTGCAAGTCTGGTCTTCATATCAATTCTGTGGTAGTGGATAACTACAAACCAGATATTCATTTGTGAGGAACAGAAAAGCAAATAGAGATGTTCACCCACTCTGTAATGCAAGTCAGTAGTTGAAAGCAATGAACTATACAACAGGATACATACAGAGCAGCATGGACTCAGGTTATCACATTGATATATGCTGCAGTCTGGCTGGGCACAATTCAGGAGCCACTTGTCAAAAGAAACAAACTTTATTTTTAGAACCACACAGGCCAAACAAAACAGCTCCTCAGGAAAAACCCTCAGAGCCCAACTGCCACCACCGGTTTCCCACAAGCCTCTCACACAAACACAAGCCTCACCACCTCCTACAATCCTCCTGCTCTTGAGGCCGATTGGCTGGGTCGCGTGGGCGAAGCCAAAGAAGTCCCCCAATGAGCATCACCGCAGAGGAGCCAATCAGCTAGATGTTGCTGGGGCCACTATGAGCCAATCATCAGCTGGCAGTCTGAAAGTTTGCTGGCAGCTGGAAGTTTTCTGGGGCCCCTTTGGCTGTGGCTCTCAACAGATATACCCTCTGAAAAGTTTTATTTAATTGGTCTGGTGTCAGGATTTGATTTACAAATATTACAGAAAAAATAGAGACATGGAAAGTTAGATAAAATATGAATGGTGGAATGTTAACAACTGTTCAATATGAGTGATGCATATATCATTAGTGTATGTTATTCAAAGAAGGGGATACTCAAATATTTTGCCCAATTTTATTTTGGTCAAATACATGAAATATAAAATTATCCATTTAAAACATTTTAAAGTATACAGCTCAATGACCTAAAGTATATTTATAATTCCATACATTCATTATCACTAACTCAAATATATTTTCATCACCAAAACAGGAAACTTATACCATTAAGTGGTGTGAATGCAGGCCAAAAAACAAGTACAAAATACCTGTAATGTACTTAAAAGGGAAAAAGAGGTGACAAAAAAGAAAACTATACCTGTGACAATATATTTCCAAAACAAAAACTTCTACTTTAAAATATAAACCTATCACTAGCAGAATTATCAGACATGTTATAAGAAGTCTCTGAGGTAAAAATAAATATATTCACATGAAAATAAGACTCTATAAAACAGAATGAAGAATATCAGAAAGTTCAATATTTGGGGTAAATATCAATTTACATTATTTAAAATTTTCTTTGAAAGACTATATTAAAACAAAAGTAATAACAATGTATTATAAGACTTAAAACATATCAAGAGGTAAACTAAATGACAACAATATCACAAAGGTCAGAAGTAAGTTAACAGGAATGTGATGCTACTACCTAAACATGGTATAATATGATGTGAAGGTGAATGCGAAAGGTTAAAGCTGAACACTAACATATCAAAATAACCAGTAATTACTCATAATCCTCCAAAAAGTTAAATGATAATAATAACAAAATTCAAAAGCCTTGGGAAAAATAGGAAAAAGGAAACAACATAAAGAGGAATAAAGTAAAAATAAATTTTAAAATGTTAGATCTAGAATTAATCTCATCAATGATCACTAAAATTGTAAAAGGTCTAAATACCTCCAATTAAAAGCAGAGATAATAATACAGAATTTATTTAAAATACCCAACTCTATGTTGCCTATAGAAAACATACTTCAAATATAAAGACATTTGAAAAGTATCAGAATGGAAAGCATACACTGAAAACATCAAAAGGAATCTGTAATGTGTTTATCACTATATTATAAAGTATATTTCAGTGTAAAAAGAATTATGAAATATAGGGAATGTCATTTAAGATCTGACATTCTGGGCATATGGCTATGGTAGAGTACTTACCTAGCATATATAAGGCCCTAGGTTCAATCCCCAAAACATACAAAAAAATGTCATTTTATAGGAGCAAAGGGGTCAATTTATTAAAAGGATATAGTCATAATAGCTGATGCAACTAATGAATGGAGTGTCAAAATACATGAAACAAAAATTTACAGAACTACAAAGAGACATAGAGAAATACATAATTATGATGAGATACTTCAATACCATTCTTTCAATAACTGAACAAGAAGATAGGAAACCAGTAAAAATATAGAATACTTGAAACATACTATCATTCAAACTGATCTAACATTTAAAGAACACTCCCCCCAGAGAAGCAAAATAGTCTTTCAAAGTACACACAGAATATTTATGAAGATAACCTTATCCTACACAAAGGAAACAAATCTCATAATATTTAAAAGATTTCAATCATGTAAAGTATCTTGTATGTCCAAAATGGTAATAAGTTAGAAATCAATGACAAAACAGGTTGTTTTATCCTTTACCATTTTCATTAAGTTTAAGGTATTAAATCTGCACATACTTGTATACATATTTATGTAAAAAATCATTAAAAAATCCTAAAAAACAAAATATTAAGAATAAATCCAAGTAAATATATATAGGAATAGCATGCAGGAAACTACAAAATGTTGATGAAAGAAATTGATAATCTATTAAATTGAGAAAAAATATTCATCTGATATGAAGATTCATATATAGAGACTTAATATACTTATTATGTAAATTCTCTCTTAAATGGTTAATGCAATCCTAAGAGGGCTATTTTTGGTGACTGTAAATAATATGATTTGAAAATTTACATGAAATAGAAAAGTAGATTAACCCCAAAACTTTATGAAAGAATAACCAAGCTGGAAGATTTATCTCATCCTATTTCAAGGCTTACAATAGTAAAGTTTAAGAACTTAAGACAGTTTTGTTGTCACAAAAGGTTAGACATATAGATCAATGGAACAGGACAGTCTAGGATTAAAAAGTCAAAATATGATAATATTTGATAAATGTATAAGGAACAATGATTAAGAAAAGATGATAATATTTTCAATAAATGGTGCTGAAATACCTCCACACTAAACCACTACACTACTCTATGTGACTATTCATTGTTTTTAGATTTTATGCTACAAAATGTGTGGTCTAGAAAATAACTGATAAATTAGAATGCATCCCACTAAAAAAAGGTTTGATTTGCAGGACATACTGGAAATACAATGAAGGGATATACCATAGCCTGGGAAAAATATTTACAAATGAATTATCAAGTCAAATGCTTTTCCCAGAATATATAAAGAACTCCAGGGTACTAACAAAAAAGGGGGGAATGAAATAAAGAAAACAAAACCTCTCTCCAAGTTTTAAAATGCTTGAAAGTTTGAACAGAGATTCTTCAAAGATATCTCACTTTTTAATCTATACTGTGATACCTTCCACTGATTTTGGAAAATTCTTGCCCATCACCTCTTTGAACATTTATTTTGACCTATTCTCTCTACTTACCTTCTGGGACTCAATTACTAATGTAACTCTCAATTGTCTTACGTGTATCTTACACACTTTGTTTTATTTGCTCTTGATGCTTTATCCTGGTTATTTTCTACCAGTCTACTGTCCATCACAATAATTATCTCTCTTTAAATGTCTAATCTGCTCTACAACTTATCTACCAATCTCTCAATTTTAATTACTATTATTGCCAATTTCAAAATGCTGGTGAAAGTTCCATTTATCCGAGAATATATTATAGTTTTAATACTTAAGTTTAAATTTAAGTTTCAATATAATTTTAATATTTAAAAATATATTACAGTTATTTCAAGTCTGTTTCTTCATTGTTTTTATTTGGTTTAACTTCAGTATCTGCTAATTTGTGGTTGATACCAGTAATTTTGCAAGAAAAATCAGTGAGGGGATGGATAGTATTATCTCATACAGTCTTTTTCATTCAGGCTTTATCAACTTCATTTTTTCATCTCTGCTTTACTCACATTTTATTCTTGTAAGCTTATACATATACATTTCAGAAAAAGGATCTCTGATTCAACAAAGCACATTGGTATTTTAATAGATATTATTTTGAAACTTTAAAAATTACATTTTATAATAATGATCCACCATACAAAAAAGACAATGTTTCTTCTATCACTTTATTAAGATTGAATTCACATATAATAAAGCTCACATATTTAAAGTGTACAATTTTTAAAATTTTGATATACATGTGCATTCATGAGTCTACCATCATAATCAATACAAGGAATTGCATATTTATCTCTCCAAAGTTTCTTAAGTAATACCTCTATGTCCTATCTCCTGGCCTCACTCACAATCAACCACTGATCAGCTTTCTTGTCACTATAGTTAGGCTTATATTCACTAGTGATGTATATGAATGGAGTTATATAATAGAAACTCTTTTCTTTTTTGTCATTTAATTATTTTGATAATTATCCAGGTTAATACCTGTCTTGAAATAGTGTATCTTTTGTTGTTGAACGGTTTTCCATTTTTTAGTTCTTACTTATATAATCATATATGTGTAAAAATTTTTGGTTATTTCCAGTTTATTATTATTAAAGATAAAATTACTAAGGGTATCCATGTATGAGTGTTTGAATGTAAATATTATTTTGTTTCTGCAAATACATAGCAGTGGAATGGTCCGTGTCCATATGGAAAGAGTGTTTTCCACATTAGTAGACCACTCAACTGTTGTCTAAAGTGGATGTGTCATTTCTCAAGTGCACCATCCTTGAACGAGAGTTTCAGTTACCCCAAATCCTTAATAACACTGTGAGCACTGTCAGTTTTATGATTTTACCCATTTGATTATGTATATGGTGATGATATTATTGCAATTTTAATTTTCATTTCTCTGATGAATGATGATACTTGGCATGATTTTATGTTTATTTGCTCTCTATATTTTAAATAAGGATGTATCTATCCAAATATTTTCCACATTTTTAAATGGATTGTCTGTCTACTCACTCTTGATTGTAAGAGCTTTTTTTTATAAATTATACATAGGAGCCCTTTGTCAGATATGTTTAACAAATATTTCTCTCATTCTGTGTCAATTTCATGTTCTTAAATTTCTGAGCAGCAAAATTCTTAATTTCAAAGGAAAGGAAATCTTATGTAATGAAAACCAGAATAGATAAAATAAAATTTCATAATTATACCAGTGTAAATTCATTATGAAGATATAAAAGTTAAGATTGGTATGGATGATATTATATATTTATAATCATATCTGATATTTCTAAAGTATATGTATTTGTAACTGTATCCAGTATATATAGCATAGGATATATGACACATGATAGAAAAATATAGGTACATATATATTAAAGAATGAGAAAAAATATCATCATACTGACAAAATTAATTCTATATACACTGGCACCGTTGAAAATAAACTTAAAATCACTTACAGAATGTTAAGTACAAAATCTCTGCTTGAAAATTATATAAAATATAGCTGAAGAAAGCATGCAATCAAGAAACAAATCAAAAGGATATTTTAAAATATTTTAATGAGGGCTGGGGTTGTGGTTCAGTGGCAGAGCACTTGCCTCACACATGTGAGGTACTGGGTTCATTCCTAAGCACCACAGACAAAAAATAAACAAACAAAGATATTGTGTCCATGTATAACTAAAAAAGATTTTAAAAAATATTTTAATGAAAAATAATGAAATTTCTTGTGACCTTTAACTAAAATTCTAAATGAATGAAAATATGTAATTTAAATACACATTTTTGGAAAGGAAGTAATGCTGAAAAACAATGATTTAAACTTTAATCAGAAAAGAACAGTGTAATCCTGAGGAATACAGAAGGAAGGAAATAATAAGGAATAAAGCAGAAATCAACAAATATATTGTTATGGTTTTATTGTCATCTAAAAAGTTCATGTATGACACAACGCAAGAATTTTTAGAGGTGAAATTATTAGATTATGAATCTTGTAATATAATTAGCAGGTTAATCCATTTATATGGGTTAACTAGGCAGTAACTGTAGGAAGGTAGGATGTGGCTGGATGAAGTAGGTCACTGAGGGTGTGGCTTTGTAGTTTATATTTTGTCTTTGGTGAAGGGAGTTCTCTCTGCTTCCTGGACATGGAGTTCTCTCTGCTTCGTGGTTGCCATGTCTAGACTTCCTCTACCATGTCCTTTATGATATTCTGCCTCACCTCTGACCCAGAGCTGTAGAGTTACCTGACCATGGACTGAATGTGAGACAAAATAAACTTTTACTTCTCTAAGTTGTTTTTATCAGGTCTTTTGGTCACAGAAAGAAAAGAGCTAAAACATATAGAGAGAATAAATAATGCACAATTAGTTCATTGAAAAGAATTAAAATATTTGTTATTCTCAGATTAAAAAAAAACAGAGTATGAATTATCCATGTTGGGAATAAAAAAAAGAGATATAACATATTTTGAGAGATAAATAAATATATTATAAAAACATATGACAAAATATGTATTCATGCCAGGCACAGTGGCACATGTCTATAATCCCAGGGGCTCTGAAGGCTGAGGCAGGAGGACCACAAGTTCTAAAGCCAGCCTCAGCAATGTCAAGGCAATTCAGTGAGACTCTGTCTCTAAATAAAATACAATAGGGCTGGGGGTGTGGCTCAGTGATTGAATGCCCTTGAGTTCAATCCCCAGTACCAAAAGCAAAAAAAAAAGCATATATATTCATAAAAAAAGAACAAATTCTTTTTTAAAAAAAACCTCACCAAAATAAAATTAAATCTGTCTTGACAAAACAGACCTCCAAAGAAGAAAATTTTAGTACCAGATTATCTTTTGTGGTAATTCTTTCATAATAGTCAGAGAATAACACAAATCCAACATAAACTAAAAGAATTTTTAAGAGAAAATAAAATACCTACCCAAATCATATTATGACTCCAAAATAACCTTAATACCAAAACCGAAAATGGAATTAAAAGCAGAAAAATTACAGGTCAATGTTTCATATGAACATAGAAACAAAACTGAAAAAAATATATCATCCTAAACCTAGCTAGTAAGACAAACTTAGATTAATATTCTAAAATCAATCAACATATGTGTGGTTTAGATATAAGGCTGTCTATGGACTGAGACTACTGAAACCAACCATGAGCACCAAATTAAACTTTTCCTCCTTGATATACTTCTTGTCAGGTCTATTGGTCACAGTGGCAAAAAACCTGACTAAAACAATATCTCATCTCATTAAACACATCCTGATAGATGTATAATACCTTTGTGATAAAATTAAGAATCCATTTATAATAACAATTCTTAACAGATTAGGAAAAGGAAAAATCTAACTTATATATCTACAAATATGCTACAATGAATATTGGACTTAACTATGAAATTTTGTAAGCTTTCCTCATGAGATAAGTCAGCAAAAATACATTCATTATCAACTCTTCTATTTAAAGCTATAGTAATAAAACCTATAGTAATAAAGGCACTGTAGTATTGTTACTGTGGTATAAACAGAAAAAATAGACTAACAGAACAGAAAGTGAAATCTAGAAGCAGCCATACTAATTTTCTGTTGCTATGACCACAAACTTAGCAGCATAAAACAACACTCATTTAATAATCTCAGGCTCTATATGTAAGAAGTCCAGATGGGTTTGTCTGAGTTCTCTGCTTAGGATCTCACAAGACTGAAATTAATCAGCTGGCTGGTATCTATTTGAAGTTTTGAAGGAAGAATCTGCTTCCAAGGTAATTTAGATTGCTGACAGAATCTGATTTTTTTTTGAAGTGGAGGTAATGGGGATTGAACTCCACTGAGCCACAACCCCATCCATAATTTTTATTTTATTCAGATACAGGGTCTCACTGAGTTACTTAGCATCTCGCTTTTGCTGAGGCTGGCTTTGAACTTGCAATCCTCCTATCTTAGCCCCTGGAGTCGCTGGGATTACAGTCATGCAGCACCATGCCCAGGTGATTTCTTAAGGTATAGGTCCAAAATCCTTATTTCTTTATGGGCTATCAACTGAGAGCTGCACCCCTCTTCTGGTGGCTGCCCAAATACTGTCTCAGTTGGCTCCTTCTACCATTAAACCATCAATAGAGCATTGATTCTTTCTTGTGCTTCAAATCTCTCTGGCTTCCCCTCTGTCACTAGTAGGGCAAAGTACTCTGCATTTAAGGGCTCATATGATTAGATTCAGACCACTTAGATATTACCTATCCACTTTATGGTTCAACCTTCCATATCATACTTATAGAGATATTATATCATCATACTTATAAGGTTCAAAACACTAGTGTACGGTATCTTGGGGAGCACTAATTTTAAAAAGCTATAAGTAAATAGTAGAGAGATGGGTAGAATAGAGGGAAGGGGAAAGGGGAGGGGGTAGAGTAAGAAAAGGGGAACTACGGGAACTGAATTAGAACAAATTCCATGCTTTTATAATAATGTCAAAATAAATCCTACTTTTATGTAAATCAAAAAATAAGTTAAAAAATAACTGCCTGCCACCCAGGTATGTACATATTGATAGTTATGATTTTTCAAAAATCATATCACATATATGGAATAAAGAGGGAAAATAGTTTCTTTTCAATAAATGATTCTATGCTAGTTGGATATCCATATGGGGGAAAAATGAAACAAGCACACACTAACTCAATTTTTGTCAGATTATAGACCTGAACATCGAATTTTTAAAAAAAATTATTCCCAAAATAACAAAAAAAGTCTTCATTTATTTACCATAAGTAAATTCTTATTAAATAGGATATTAACACGCCAATCCTAAAACACAAATTGATAGATTATTGGTATGGCTTGGATATGAGGTCCCTGAATAAGCTCATAAATAAGCTCAGGAATGTTCAGAGGTAAAATAATTAGATTTTATGACAGTAGCAACCTAATCAGGAGACTCATCATCCCTGACTCTCCTCCTTCTCTGCTTACAGGCTTCCAGGGGTTGAAAAGCTCTCCACCACCACACCCTTCTGCCATGATGCTCTGCCTCACCGCAGGCCCAAAGCAATGGAGTATGCCTACTAGGGACCAAAATCTCTGAAATGGTTATCCAAAATAAACTTTTCCTCCTCTAAGTTGTTCTTGTCAGGTATTTTGGTCACAGTAATGAAAAGCTAACACAATTATAGCTCATCATAACTTAACAATAGTTATTTACAATCAGGTATGATCACTCATGAATGTAATCTCACTATTTGGGAGGTTGAGGCAGGAGGATCCCAAGTACAGGGCTGGCCTCAACAATTTAAAAAGACCCTGTCTCAAAATAAATAATACATAAAAGTGTTGGGGATATTGTCAATGATAAAAATACTCCTGGGTTCAATCTCCAGCACCATTGGAAAAAAGAGAATGATTATTTATCTAAAGATGCCATTAAGAGAGTGCAAAAATTTGCAACATTAAGAGATGTTGGCAATACATATATCTTATGAAGGACCCCTGTTTAGAATATAGTTTTGTTTACATAAATTCTCTGCATCAATAAGAAAAAGGCAGATGACTCAAGTTTTAAAATGATGGGTAA